TTGGGGAATTGGGGGAGGGAACAGCGTTGGGGAATCGGGGAAGGGGAACAGACAAGTTGCTGTCCTTTTGTTCTTCAGTCTAGTTATGGAGGACGCCACTTCACTGGCCCATGTTGGTATTGTGATCACTGCGCTCTTCCCGGCTGAGGCAGATGGGTCCCCGGCCATTGGACAGCCACTCACGGCTGCTCACGCTGGCTGCTAGCCACTCACGGTAGCTTACGGCAGCCCACTGCAGCCTACGCCGTCGCCAGCCACACTCACGGCAGCCCAGCTCCAGGTAGAGCTGTTGTTCACCATCTTAGTTGCAGAGGGCGCAGCGTCACTGGCCCATATAGGATCCAAACCGGCGGCCCTGCTGCTCAGAGCTTGTGCTCCCAAGCCAACTCCCAACCAATGTGCCACTTGACCAGCCCGATAGTGTCTTTTGATGCAAAAAGTTTTTAATTGTGGTGAAGTCTAATTTATTTTTTTTTCTTTTGGTGTTTGTGCTTTTGGTGTGTAAGAAACTACTGCCTAATCCAAAGGCACAAAGATTTATGACTATGTATTCTCCTAAGTGGTTTATACTTGTTGCTCTTACATTTAGGTCTATAGTCCATTTTGAGTCAATTTTGTATATGGTGTGAAGTAGGGGTTCATTCTTTTGCAGGTGGCTTGCCAGCTGTCCCAGAGCCATGTGTTGAAATGACTATTTTTCCCCAATGCATGGTCTTGAGACCCTTGTTGGAAACTAATTGACTATAAATGTAAGCATTTATTTCTTGATTGTCAATTCTATTCATTGATCTACATGTTTATCCTTATGTTAATATCTCACAATTTTTATTACTATAATTTTGATTACTTATAACTTTGTTATAAGTTTTGAAATCAGGAGATGTACTTTCCATTTTTTTCTATTCTTTCAAGATTATTTTGGCTGTTTGGGATCCCTTGTACTTTCATATGAATTTTAGGATCATCTTGTCAATTTCTGCAAAAATCTAGTGGGGTTTTTGATAGGGATTATATTGAACATACAGATCAATTTGGGAAGTATTGCCATCTTAACAATATTAAGTCTTTTGATTGATGAACACTGGATGTCTTTCCACTTATTTAGATCATTTTTAAGTTCTTTCAATGTTTTATAATTTTCATTGTACAACTCTTATACTTTTGTTTTAATCCTAGGTATTTTACCATTTTTGATATTATAGATAGCATGTCTTCTTCATTTCATTTTCAGATTGTTCATTTCTAGTATATAAAAATACAACTGATTTTTGTAACCTGATCTTTTTAACCTGCAACCTTACTGAACTCATGTATTAGCTCTAATAATTTACTTACTCCTTTCCAATTTGAATGCCTTTTGTTTCTTTTTCTTGCCTCACTGCCCTAGCTAGAACCTTCATACAATGATGATTAGAAGTGGTGAGAGTGGACATCCTTGTCTTCTTCCAGATCTTAGGGAAAAACATTCAGTCTTTCATCATTAAATATGATTATTAGCTGTAGGTTTTTCATAGATAACCCTTTATCAGGTTGAGGAAGTGCTCTCCTATTCCTAGTTTGTTCAGTGTTTTTAAAATGAGTATTGGATCCTGTCAAATGCTTTTTGTGAGTTTACTGAAATAGTCATGTATTTTTTGCTCTTTATTTTATTAATATAGTATATTGCATTGATTTTTCTTTTAATTTTTTAGCTGAGCCATCCTGCCACCTGTTGGCTGCTCAGCAGCAGCTCAGCTCGGGCTAGCAATCGAACCGGAGGCTGTGTTGCTCAGAGCTCACACTCTTGAGCGAGCTCTTAACCAACTGAGCCACTCGGCCGGCCCTGATTTTTTTATGTTGAACCACCCTTGCATTCCTGGGATGAATCCTACTATATTTATGCATAGTTTTCTTGAGATATCTTTGTCTAGTTTTGGTATCAGGGTAATACTGCCATTGTAAAATGAGTTGGGAAGTATTCTCTCCTCTTCTATTTTTTGTAAAAGTTTGTGAAGGACTTGTATTAATTCTTTTTTAAATATCTGGTAGAATTCCCTAGTGAAGCCAGCTGGGTCTGGGCTTTTCTTTGTAGGTATTTTTATTTTTAATAGTTCAATTTCTTGTTATAATTCTATTCATATTTTTCTATTTCCTCTCAAGTCAGTTTTGGTAGTTTGTGTGTTTCTAGGAATATGTCCATTTCATCTAGGTTATTTAATTTGTTGGCATATAATTGTTTATAGTATTTCCTCATCATCTTTTTAAATTTCTGTAAGGACTAAAAGTAATGTCCCCTCTTTCATCTTGATATTACTAATGTGTATTTTCCCTCTCTTTTTCTTTTGTGTGTGTGTGTCGGGGGGGGGGGCGGCTAGACAATTCATCCCAACTTTTGGTTTCATTGATTTTCTCAATTGTTTTCTACTCTCTGTTTCATTTACTTCCACTGTCATCTTTATTACTCCTTTCCTTCTGTTTGTGTGGGTTTAGTTTGCTTTTCTTTTTTTAGTTTAAGGTGGAAGAAGGTTAGGTTATTGATTTGAGATCTTTTTTTTAATATAAATGTTTACAGTTACAAATTTCCCTCTTAGCACTGCTTTAGCTGCATTCTGTAAGTTTTGATATATTGTTTCTGTTTTTACTCATCTCAAAGTATTTTCTAATTTCCCTTTCTTTTTTTAGTACATTGGTTATTTAGGAATGTATTGTTTACTGTCCACATTTGTGAATATCCCAAATTTTCTTCTGTTTCTGATTTCTAATTTTCTTTCCATTGTGGCTAGAGAACATATTTTGTATGATTTCAATCCTTTTAAATGTATTGAGACTTGTAGGTCTATCCCGGATCATGTTCCATGTGCACTTGAGAATGTGTATTTCTGCTGTTGTTAGTGGAGTGTTCTAAAGATGTCTGTTAGGTCTAGTTGTTTTATAGTGTTGTTCACATCTTCTATTTCCTTCCAGTTGTGCTAGCACTAATCATAATTATTATCCCAAATGGCAACAACAATGAAGATCACAAGTGCTCACTACCTGACTCCCTAACCTAGTAGAATACATGCAATGCTGGCTGCAGGGGTTTATCCTGAAAAGGCTGTGGAGTTAAACAATTTATATTTTGAGGCTTCTTTATCAGAAGTCTCTGTCATTAACAGAAATTAAAATGAAAATACAAATGAGTTCCATGCCTTAACTTCCTACTACATAATTATTTTCATTTTGCTCTGAGTGTCTCCTAAAAAAACTGAACTTATTCATATCCCTACTTCAGCAAATGTCCTAAGTATATCAGGAGATCACTGTAGGAGGCTTCGTATAGCTAGGGTGGCTGGCAAACAAGTGGAAGGAAGTCTTTGTGATTCCAGACTCTTTTGCTTCCAAACATCCTCAGTGTGAACTCCAGTATATGACTGCAATTGGATTTAATAGGCAAGGGAAACCCACACTGCCATGGACTTGAGTCTGGTCAAGTCTGTGATTAAAGAAGGGAAAACAAAGAATACAGCTCCCCAAAATATTCAAGCTGCTCCTTGGTCTCCCAGGAATTATCTGAGCTGCTGGGCAGTATCTTCTACCATCTAAGTCCTTAACCCATAGGGTGCTACGCTATGACCTGGGTAAGGAACCAATGCACTGGGCTTATTACCTACCTTCTTTTTATTGTTCTTAAAAGATCTCAGATCCTGCAAAAATCAGCCTCCCCTGCCATTTCCATTCAGATAACTTGAGTAGCTCAGGTTTGACAGAAAGGAAATGTTTTTCAAGTAGCTCTATCTTTGGATAACAATAACCCAATGTACTTTTCAACTCTTCCCCCATTTCCTGCCCATAGATATTCCATTATTCATCCTTTCAAAGTCCTGCTCAAATGCCATCTCTTTCACAAAATCTCCCAATCCTCTCTTTCTCTATCAGAACTAACAGTTCTTCATGCACATGCTACTGATACCTATTTCACAGTGATTTCATTTATCTTGAATATTTCATTGTGAAACAAAGTGGGGTGCAGTAGGGAAATGTGGGCTTTGAAACCAGGTAAACTTAGATTGAAACTCTGACTCCGTGACAGAGGTAGACCACTAAAGACACGATGATCATGTAAAGCACTGAGCACTCTGTTAATATAAGTGCCTTTTGCCTATCCTCACCACTTTGCCCTCTTTGAGGGCAAAATCATTTTGTCACCTTTGTTTGCCTTCTGCCATGTCCACCAGTAACATCGTTACCATAATATTAGTAGATAACATTTACTTATTATGTGCCAGCACTGATCAAAGCACATTACATTACATATATTACTTCATTGAATACTTACCAAAAAATGTGAAATAGGTATTATTATTGTCCATATTTTACAGATACAGAAACTGGGCAAAGAAAAGTAACTTACCCCAGGTCACACATCTGGTAAGTAGCAGAGTCAGGATTTAAATCCAGTATATCTGGTACTAAAGCTTGCTCTCATAACCATCATACTATACCTCCACTCTAAGTATAGTCTTTGTCAATGAAGAAATTTGCCTTTCTAAGGAATATGTGTAACACTTAGGCAAAATCTGACCAAGGCATGGTTAGTTGTCCCCAGAATTTCATTTTGCATTAAAAGGAGAATAGGCTTTTTCAAACAAAATCTTAAGATCATCTTCCAGAAACACCTAACATTTCTATCACTACCCCAAAAGAGTACTATTTAAGTATAAAATTTAGATAGAGTTCTTCTTCTGAAGTAAAAACAGTTCTATTTAATCAAGCCTTCCTAAATATGACAATGAAGACCAAGTTAGGCATGTAGGAGACTACTAAAGAATTAAGTGATTTTTTCGATTGAAGATCTCACCTTACTTTTCACAAATAACTGAAATCCAATAGCAACACTGCAGGGTTAAATCTACTTACCATTTAAATTAAAATCCCCAAAATGATTTCAGATATCATTTCTCCTAAATCAACTAACTGTTCCTTCGTAAAATATTAATGGTCTAAGCCATTAGTCTTCATTATTGTACTTCAACTAATTTGATCTGAAGTTTATGAGGGGCTGATTTTACATTAATCAATGCAGAAGTTTTCAAAAGGTCATATCCCAGAGAAGACTTACACCACAGAGCAAGCATAACATCCTTTCTTGCTACTCTCACGAATTAAGAATGCACCATCAGGTTTTCCATAAAGCAAGTCCTCTGCTTGTACTCGATTGATATCCTCAACAAACCAGGTTTTCTCATCATAATGGGGCAGGTTTTCATCTTCCTCATTGATAAAATAGGTCCTAAAATAAATGTTAAAATATTATTCTAACAATCAGGTTACTTATATCTAAAAGCAAATTCATAAATAAAACTCTCTTCTAAATCTTTTACCACAAATGACAAAGTGAAATTGCAATTAGTTGGATTTTTTTAACAACTTCATTATTTGCTATGGTGCAGAAAGCACAGAATTCACATGTCTCATCCAAAAAGCTAACACATGGATGTCTGAAAGAGTAATGCTTTTGTTTCATGTGGTTCAGCAGGTCTCTAAACGCAAGTGCCTATAGGGTACTCTTGAGGCCATTCAATTCAAAAGAGGTGCAAAGTTCTTGATTCAGTGTCCTGAAGCGACAATGAGAACCAACACTTAGCATGCATAAAGAAGGCCCACGTCTTATATGGAACAAAGCCCTCTGACAGAAGGGCACAGAGAGAACTTACTCGTCAGCATCCTCATTCTTGATTCCCAGCCAGGCATTCAGGCGCTTCTGTCTCACTCCTTTGTGGTTGAGCCATCTGCCGGGGGAAGACACCAGTGTCAGTATCTGTGCAGACTCTGCCTGGACAAAGTAGATACATCCCAGCCAACCAAGCTTCCAGAGTCCAGGAACCTCTAATTTATCCCAGCCCCACTGAGTGTGGCCACAGATTTCCCTAAACTAGTTTCTCTATTGCTTTTCCTTCAACTTTCTGCAAAAAGTCAGAAACAAAGAGCTACTTGAAATTAGGCTCTTCTCTTACTTTTCATTTTCCTTTTCTAGAAGGTTATACCACCACAAGCACACAACATACATATACTCAGACACAGCGAGACATCTGTTCCTGAACTCATTAGTTAGGTGAGTGTGGTGTCACACATTTGCAATCTCCGCTAAGCCAGAGGACTCAATTCCTGTGCAGTCTATGACAGTGAGTTAAAATTCTTCAACAGAATTTCAAGGTCTATTTTTGCACCTAAGCAAGCCACAAGAAATTCAGGGTGGCAATCTGAGTAATTAATACAAATTTACTTCCTCACCAGGCAAATTGTAGTATTTTAAAATATAGCAACGTTTTAGATAGAAAATGATATATACCACTACATTTACTTCCACTGAGGTGGCTGATGGCCTGAAACTTGAGTGGAATATAAAACTCTCTCATCATGATGGTCCACCACGCAAGCTCTGATCATTTAGATCTCACCATAAATGTCACTTCCTCAGTGTCCCAACTAAGGTAGGCCGCAGTCACTCTCTGTACTTTATCATTTTCATAGAATCTGCCTGGAATTTATTATTTCATATTTTCACTTGTTTATGTTTATCTCCCCCACTAAAATGTAAGCTGCTTTAGGGCCGGCCGAGTGGCGTGGTGGTTAGGATTTGGCCTGGGTCGCCCACTCTGAGCAGCAAGGCCCCAGTTCAGATCCCACATGAGGACTAGTGACGCTGCGCCCTCTACAGCTAAGATTGTGAACAACAGCTCGGCCGGGATCTGGGCTGCCGCGAGTCACTGGCGACAATGTAGGCTGCAGTAGGCCTGGCTGGCAGTGGGCCATGAGCAGCCATCCAATGGCCAGCAACCGATTTGCCTCACCCGGGAAATGTGCAATAATACCAACATGGGCCGATGAAGTGATGTCCTCCACAACTAGACTGAAGAACAAAAGGACAGCAACTTGTCTGTTCTCCTTCCCCAATTCCCCAACCCTGTTCCTCTCCCCCAATTTCCCAATAAAATCTTAAAAATAAATAAATAAAAATAAAAATACATAAAATGTATGCTGCTTTCAAGAAATGGGTCTGTCCTGTTCATGGCTAATCCCAGTGCTGAAAACAGTGCCAGAACATAGCATATTATTCAATAAATAGTAAGTATTTGCTGGTGGGCTGGTTTTAATAAATCTTCATGGTCAACTCCAAAGTCATCTTGTATCTCTCTCTGACCCCAAGTACACTAGAGAACTTGGCATTACACCTAGTTTTAAGGTTTTTTTTTTTTTTAAATACAGATTTCATAGCCTTTCTCAATAAGACATGTCCTTCAATTAACCTGGATTTCATTTTTTATGCTTAGTGAAGCCAGAAAACAACTAACATGATCTTGATAGAATTTATTTAGTAACAAATCCCCTCCTCCACCACCACTTCTATTAGAAAAATATCCTGATACCTTCCTCTAAACACTCTTTATAAAAGCTATTCTATCTTTAAAGAACTGATCTTTCCTTTATTAAAGAGACTAGCACACTGGGTAAACGGCTTGAAATGAACAAATGGCACTATATTTTCTCTTGAATTCTCATTTTCTTTTCACCACCAAGCTCTTTAAATTGAGCCTCCCTTTCTGCCACAAGGAATGTTAGGACACCCAGGAAAATCCAGGAGAAAGGGAAGAACGTTTTGGTCTATCCTCCATCTATGATGTTGTCCTGCCTTTTCACATAAACAACTTTTCTAATCTCCCAAAAGTCCATTTCAAATACTACTATATAGTTCTGAGTCCTTAAACATCTATTAGCAATGCCAGGAATTGACTAGCTTTTAAAAGTGATTTTGAGGGCCAGCCGAGTGGCACACTGGTTAAGAGTTGGCTTGGGACGCCGGCTCTGAGCAGCAGGGCCGCAGTTTGGATCCCACATTAGGGCCAGTGATGCTGCGCCCTCTACAGCTCAGATGGTGAACAACAGCTCGACCTGGAGCTGGGCTGCCATGAGTCGCCGGCGACAGCGTAGGCTGCAGTGAGGCTGCAGTGGGCTGCAGTAAGCTACCATGAGCGGCCGGCAGCCAGTGTGAGCTGCCAAAAGCCACCATGAGCTGCCAAAAGCCACCATAAGCAGCCGTCCAGTGACCGGCAACCTATCTGCCTCACCCCAGAAGAGCACAATGATAATACCAACATGGGCCAGTGAAGTGATGTCCTCCACAACTAGACTGAAGAACAAAAGAACAGCAACTTGTCTGTTCCCCTCCCGATTCCCCAATAAAATCTTTAAAAAAAAAAAAGTGATTTCAAAAAGGTTCAAGCAACTTTAGGTATGTTAGTTCATATTTAACTTATTGATTAAATCAATCAATAGATCACATGTAAAGGCAGTATATTCTAGAGGAAAAACCTAACATCAAATTCTCATTCTGTTACTAATTGTGTGGTTTTGACCAGCCTCTCTTTATGCCTCAGGATTCTCTTCTAAAAAACAAGAAAAATGCTGTTCCCATAGCTTACACTGAAGTTATCTTAAGAAAAACAAGAGAGAAAAAAATAGCTCGTGTTAGTATATCCTTACCTAGTCCCCAACTCAGCAAGTAGGAAAAAAATATATGTATATATGGTGTCATTTCTAAAGGTCTAATTAGCCTTACATCCCAACTACCACCTCCTAAGAAGAAACGAGCTGTTTCAGCCCAAGAAAAAGGATTAAACTAGGCAGTTCCTGAAAGAGGGGATTAGGAAAAAATACTTTGAAGCTGAAGCAGGAGTCCTAGAGGAGAATTGATGCTTCCCTAGAGCCTGGCTAAAGTATGAGGTGGGGTAACAGAAAAGGGTGCCCCATGAACAAGGCACCCTGGATGGAGGACAAGAAGGTTTTAAGATGCAGAACCTGTTGGTGTTGAATAAGGAGATTACTGTGAACAGCACTTCTGAAATTTTCTGAAACAGCGATATGTAACCAGATGGCAGGACCCATTGATTAGGGGCAGAGGAAGTACCCAATACTGGCAGTGATGAGGGACAAGGGACTTTTTGCTTCACTACAGCGGTTCTCAACCTGTGGGTCGTGACCCCTTTGGGGGTCGAACGACCCTTTCACAGGGGTCGCCTAAGACCATCGGAAAACAAAAAGATATTTACATTACGATTCATAACAGTAGCAAAATTACAGTTATAGAGTAGCAACAAAAATAATTTTATGGTTGGGGGTCACCACAACATGAGGAACTGTATTAAGGGGTCGCGGCATTAGGAAGGTTGAGAACCGCTGCTCCACTAGTTTCCTGGCAGTATTTCATGATGACATTATTATATGATCCAAATGTGTGTGTGTATGTATAGGAGGTGGGAAGAGCACTAATCATAACTGAAATAAAACATTTTTCATATAACCAGGCAGGTGGGAACTTGGAATAAATTAAAGAAAAAGAGGAATACCACTTGTCTTGTACCAAATTTTATAAACAGAACTTCACACTCTCTACATAAAAATGTGATAATATATAAGACATTTTGAAATGAAAAATCAGTTTAAAAATTTTTAAGTTATGAGATAAATTAAGGAGTCACTACCTTCAAAAAACTAGACCACCACTGGTGGAAATGTAAAATAGTGCAGCTACTATGAAAAGGCCTGACAGTTCCTCAGTTAAACACAGAGTACAGTACAACCCAGCAATTCCACTCCTCAGCATATACTCAAGAGAACTAAAAACATATGTCCATACAAAAACGTGTACGTGAATGGTCAGAGAGCAGCATTATTCATAATAGCCAAAAGTTAGAAACAACCCAAATGTCTATCAATTGATGGTTAAACAAAATGTGGTCTATCCTTACAATGGAATATAATGAAGTACTATACATGCTACACATGGATGAACCTTGAAAACATTATGCTGAGTGAAAGAAGCTACTCTCAAAACACTACATATTATATTTTTCCATTTATATAAAATGTCCAGAATAGGGAAACCCATACAGACAGAAAGATTAGTGGTTGTTTAGGGCTGAAGGGAATGGGGTGATAGAGGGATGATAGGTTAAGGGTACATGGTATCTTTTTGGAGTGATGAAAACTCCAAAATTAACTATAATTAACTATGGTGATGGTTGCACATATCTGTGAATGTAATAAATACACTGAATTATACATTTTGAAATGGATGAATTGTATGAATTGTATGGGATGTGAACTATATCTCAATAAAGTTGTTTTAAAAATAACAAAATACCCTTCACAGAACTCCTTTAGCTGCAAACTCCTCTAGTACATATTACTCAAAACTCATTAATGCACCTGTATTGTTATGGTAAGTTATTCTTTATTTTGAATTTATGAATTTAGGTTTATAAATACCAAGAAAAGTAAATGGTAATCTTGGAAACTAACTCCTGATGAAAAAGAATTACACGTGAACAACCAAATTCCTTTTTTTTTGAAAAGGAATTTTAAAGGATTTTATATTTAGGAAAAATTTTACTCTCCATTTAAGAAATTCTCCATTTAAGAAACTGTACTTAAGTATTCAAGAATGCTTTCTAGAAACAGTACACTGTGACCAGCAGAGAATCTCATAAAATCCTTGTGGGCTATGAGCAGTGGGAAGTCAGGGAAATGTCCGCATGTATAAGTTTCACAATCAGTCTCCTTCAGGACTAGCTAGACAGTTTCATCATTGGAGCAGATCTGGTCTACCTAGTATTGTCCTTGTTAGAAACATCAAAGCATGGACTACGGGAACACTGGACTATTCTCCCTGAAGCAACCTTTCCAAATGAGGTAATGGCTGTCCTGTCTCCCTAATCATCCTAGTTATCATCCATGATGTTATCTAAACACTCCTTTGTATTTAGTTTACATAACTTGTTAAAGAAACTTTCAAGGTCTACTTTGCCACACTTACTGGTGCTCCTTGGGATGCTATATTTCTTAATATTGCATTCCAGGGCAAAGACAGGCTTCCATTCATTCCTGTGGTCCATGACATAGACTTCTTGGGCCTTTCTTCAGCTTCATATGTGACCAGGACCATATAAACATTCCAAGAACAGACACACCCTGCCTTGTTTCCAAAGCTCTTCTGTATGGTATATGTACTTGCTTGACTTTTGGGGGACCACAATAGCAAACGGAAATGATCTCTAGAGAGCAGTGTTATTAAAACTACTCAACATAGTATAGTTGTAATTGTTTGCCCCCAAAACAATCACCTTAAATTTTCCTCTACTGAAACTCAACAGCCACTGTTCCAACTTCTAAGCTTATATTTTATCTCCTCTCCCTTTGTCACACAAAGAAACCCTGACATCTACGGAACACCTAGTCAGAGGTCTTACTCTGTCTTCTCCTGCCAGGAGTTTGAATTCAGTTGTTTTTTCATGCATGAAAGTCACCATTAACATATTTCATAACAGTCTATTCATTACCTAGAACTAAACCTACTATATTTTCCTTTCTCATGGATTTTCTTCTTCTGTGAAGCAGTCATTTGTCCTAAAAACCTAATTCACACAATTTGTTCTGATTATATATCTTTCAATCCATATTTGAATATAGGGATATCTAGCTAAATCATATAGTTTTCCATAATATTAAAGAGTTGGTTTTCACTCCTCAGATCAGATTATCTTTCATACCTACTATTGGACACATTTCTATTACTTAAATACAAAATTTCATTTCTTAAATATAAAAATCCTTTAATACATTTGTCTGTGTATTTATTTGTAGGCCCCCCACTATTGGCACCCTTGCCTGAGCCCATGAGGGATAATTTCTATTTCTGTGGTTCTACTACATGTTATATAACCAAAGATCCTGTCTTTGTGTTTCAGGCAAACATTATTGTACTTTTTAAGCTGTATCACTTGGCTCCTGCCATAGCCACCCTCTGACATTTCCAAGGCAGCTGTACAGTTTAGACTCCTACACTGCTCCCACACGTTAACTTTGGATAAACTCTGCTCCCCCTGCTACTAACAGGAGTGCTTCCCCATATTCTTCCACTCTCACTGGAAGGTTCTCCATTACAAATCTCTTCTGCCTCCAACATTTCTCGTGCCTGTAGTGACCTGGTGCTGGTGGTCCCCCCATCCAGGCCCAGACTACTTACACAAGGTGCTGATCTCGGATCTTGCGCAGCTGGATCAGGTCAGGTTTGATACTATTCATTTTTTTATCTATTTCCCGGTTGTCCAAAGCTTGTTTCTTCAAATCCTGCTCTAGACGCACTTTGCTATCATGAATCTCACCCAGACGTGATTTCAATTTGTCATAATTCATCATAATTCTGTGAAAATATTTGACATATTAAGGCTAGAAAAGGAACCAAGTAGAGTAGCAGCATTCTATAGTGTGAGCCAAGTACTAATGTCTTAAGTGTGGTCGACATCTGCTGTGTTTACCTGGCCCATATCCATTCCCACTCTTCTGGTAAGAACACCCTGATGGTCACTATAGGTAAGGGTACCCTGCCCCCATCTCAGATTTAGGGGTGAACTTCCACACAACCCCACCTGGCCAAGAAGAGTATTCCATTCCATCCTATCCCTACCCTCAGGCCACAGTGACTGGTTCAGGAAAGGGGAAAATACCCAAGCTGATTCAATGACAGTTAATTCTAGAACCTTTGCTGGAACTATTATAAACAGATTCTCTTTTCCCACTGGAATTGCTCAATTAATACATATGTGATTGTAGGATTCCCAGCTGCTATACTGCTACCTCATACAGAAAGCTTACCTGAGGATGAAGCCAACTCAGAGAAAAACTTAACCTAAAGAGTATGAGAGAGAATCCTGATGACCTTGTTTGGGCCCTGGGTCAAGCCACGATTGAACAAGTGAAGCCATCCGTATGACATCAAGCGATAACACAATATAGCAGCTAAGAGCAATGCTTTGCAGTCAGCCCGCCTACATTGAATCTCTGGCCTGCCACTTACTGTGTGGCTATGGAAAAGTTATTTAACTTCTCTGTGCCTTCATTTCCTCTTCTGGGTACCTAAATAGTACCTACCTTCACTGGGCAAATGTGATAATATATGTAAAAGGACTAAACAGTGCCTGGTTCATCTTGGTGAGCACTCAGTAGATGATGGAGATAAGCTTCTCGAGCACAAAGTTCTGCTCTGCGCTGAACCCTTACGGCAATGACTGCCCACATTACTCATTTATCATTCAGCATGTGATTTAATATTAAATTAGAACTTCATCATACTACTTTACCTCCCTTTGCAACTAAACTACATTATTTTCTTTTTCTTCATTAATAATAATTGCCATTTATTGATACCATATGCCAAGATATATACATACAGACAAAACATGCCTTTCTGTACCATGAATGTGTGTGTGTGTGTGTGTGTGTGTGTAACTTATTTCTCATAGCATTTCAACAAGATATGATCCACAGTTTATGGAGGAGGAAACAGGCTGAGAAAATTAAGTAACTCACCCAAGGTCACACAGCTGGTAAACAGTCAATACATAATCCAAGCCCATGGTTTTAACCATGAAGCTACACTGCCCCACAGCACTCAGCCCTGTTCTTTTGCACACAAAAGTTCACCAACACTTTGGTGATAATATGAGAAATAATTTTGCTTTTCCCTTGCTTATGATTCGCTTATTTATCATCCACTCTTTCATTCCTCAAGCCACTGTCATCTGGCTTAGTCCTCCAATACTCCACAAAATTTGCTTTGATAAAGTCTTCCAATATCTTCTCAGTTGCCAGATCCAATACTTCTCATGCTGCTCATTCTTTCTGCATAATCTCATTTTCAGCATCTACCATCACCTACTCCTTTGTGCCTCCCAAATCCTTTCTGTGCCCTGAGTTCTGAATCCAACAGTCCTTCGGACAACTCCATTTCGGTTCTCACTGGAACCTCAAACTCATTGTTTCCAAGCCCAAACTCTCCTCATAAACTCTTTATTTTGGTGGATAGCCCCATCCCTTAGTCACTAGGAATAATCTGACTAATCCCACACTTACCATTCTTGGTCAAGCCTCAAGTCCTCAGCATTTCCATTAACTCCTCCTCCTTTCCTGCCATTGCCCTGGTTCAGGCCCTCACCATCTTTTAACCTGATGACCACAGAAACTGCAGTCACCTCCAATAGTCAGGCTGCTCTTCCTGTCCATGGTCTTGTTCCATCTCCAATTTATTCTCAGACTGCTGCTGTTGATTTTCAGCTCAACAAGTATTCAATGAGAACCACTATGAGCTCAGGCACCATAACAGGTGCTGGAGCTGTCAGGGAAAATAAGCCATCATCCTTCTTACTCCCAACAAGCTCGCAGTTTAGTGAGTGGCACATGCAATAATTGTTACAGTAGGGATCGGGACCAGATACTGTAGGGGTAGAGACAAGAAGCCCCCAAACCAGTCTAGGGAATCAGGGGAGATTTGCTAGAGAAAGTCATATCTAAGCTGAGTCCTAAAGGAGGAGCAGGAGTTAGTGTTTAGGAGGATGGAGAAAGAATGCAGAAGAGAGACGGTTCAGTTTGGTGCCATTATTGGGAAAAGCAAGTATTTCCATATGGCAGGACCATGAAGTTTGAGGGGTAAAAGCAGACACAACAGAGATTATTGGGGAAGAAAAGAAGTCTTGTCTTACTGGTGTACTTGGAGGCATTAGGTAGATTTACCGTTCAATTTCCTTTTCATTCCCCTCTCTGCGAAATCGCTCGATATATTCTTTACTATATTGTTCTTGTGTGTGACACTGCTCTTCGAATATTTTAATTGTTTCATTAAAAGCTTCAATTGCAGTCCGCTTCATCTGTATTTCCTATAGGAGAGAAAAAGAAAAGACATACACTTCATTGTCTTTGTTTTTTTTGTAACTCTGGTCTTCAAACAAATCTTATAATTCTAGTTACAATTCCATATAAGACCAAATTCAGACGGCTAAAATAAGACCCTTTATTTAACTCCTACCCTTATTACTTGTACTTATATGCAAAATGCATCATTCAAACCCTAAAATAAAAGAAAAAGAACTATTACCTGACGTATAGCCGAGAACCACAGAAAGGCTCTGAGTTGCTAAAAGGGACTAACCCTGAACACCTTGAAGACAAGGATAAAGTTCTGCCTCTGCATCTACTGTAGTGCTGACCCCTAAACAGTGCTGAAGGAGTGAATGGCTAGAGCAGAGGAGTCCATGCACCAACATGCAAGCCCTATTCCCAGAAAAGCCCTCTACAGTGTATTTGTTCTTACTTTCATTTCTAAAGCATGTCATTTTCCAAACAGATTCATCAGTAGGTTAATCTGATTAGAAAAGGGGAAGAATAGCTGTTAAAATCAGATGCAGAGTAAGATGAAAAACTAAAAAGTCCATAAAACAAAAGTCCAGTAGGCTAAGCCATTCAGCACTAGGGTAAGTAGTCCTATACATTTCAATGAACTCTGAGGGTATCTGTAGACTTTAGCATCTGAATTATGATTCCCCTAAAACCTTCAACGAGGGTTAGGTTTTGTTCAATTTACTTTAGAAAGTAAAAAAATATGTATAAAGGTCTAGAAAGATTATCATCCTGAATGTTTACAATTTTTGAAAGTTTGGTGCTTAAAGGGTAATTCCTCAACTATCCAAGCACTGATTACTTTCAACAAATGATTATTGAAAATCCACTATACAGAAGTCCCATCTGGTGATAAAGAGATTCATAAAACATGGAACCGCCCCTTCAGGATTCAGCATATACAGGTTAAATAGATTTTTGAACTCTAATAGGTTGGTTTTTTTTTAAAGATTTTTTATTGGGGAATTGGGGTATGGGAACAGCACTGGGGAATTGGGGGAAGGAGAACAGACAAGTTGCTGTCCTTTTTGTTCTTCAGTCTAGTTGTGGAGGACGTTGTCACTGG